GGCTCGGCGCGGGCTAGCGGGCGCGGCCGCCATTGGCCAAAGCCGCGCCAGTGGGTGGAGCTAAGCCGATGCCGGGGTCCTGCCCGCCGGCTGTCCCCGGCTCCGCCCCAGTTCTGCTCCCTCCCACTTTACTACAGGCGGCTGAAGCCGGGCCGCCGCGCCACACGGGAGGGAGCAGGCTGGCCCGGCACGACCCCGCCCGCAGCTCCCGCCCGTGCCGAGGAGACGCCAGCCTAGCAGCTACCGTCGTTGCAGCCTTAGAGGAGACGCCGCCGCCGCCGCCGGTCCCGGCCTGCTTGGAACACGCGGACGGGGCGGGGATGTTGCTCTCCAAGATCAACTCGCTGGCCCACCTGTGCTCGGCGCCCGGCGGAGATCTGCACCCGGTGAAGCCGCTGCCAGGTTAGCCAGACCGGGAGGTGGAAAGGAGAGATGGCTTGGTGCGGGCAGAGGGGAGTCACGCGCGGTGGGCCGGTGGGTGGCCGCCTTGGATGCATCCCCTCCCGTGGCCAGGATCGGTCCTGATGGGGGAGGGGGGGCGGTGGTGGGTTGGGATGGGGGGGGAAAGAGAGAGGGGCGCGAGCAGGAGACAAATGGGGGAGGGCGCTGAGCTGACCTCCCTCCCGGATTCTGTTCCTCTTAGGAAAGGAGAAGGAGCCCTTGGAGAAGCTCTACCAGGTGGGCCCACTGCTGGGCAGTGGCGGCTTCGGCTCTGTCTATTCGGGCACCAGGCTGGCCGACGGAGCTCCGGTGAGTGGCTGGCTGGTGGATCGTGCCCTCGGCATCCCTCCGGCTCCCTATTCGTTTTGCTGTTGTTTTCCAGCTTTCTGGCGTATCCATTCTTCAATTCAGTGTTTTCATTTTTTTCTGACGCTGGTTCTCATCTGGATTGGTTTTCATTTCTCCCCCCCCCCTTTATGTGCTGTGTTTGCAGGTGGCCATCAAGCATGTGTCCCGGGACCGGGTTTCGGAATGGGGAGAACTGGTAAGTGTGTGGCAGCACAAATGGCTGGGGGAGCCCCTCTTTGGAGAAACCCACACACACATCTTTGATTACTGTTCTGCTGCGTAGGTCCACTTGCCCTCCTGCTCATGGACTCCTCTTTCTTTTCCCCCTTCCTCCCCCTTCCCACATTCCTTGCAGCCTGGTGGGACGAGGGTGCCCATGGAGATTTTACTCTTGAAGAAGGTTGGCTCCGGCTTTCGAGGGGTTATTCGGCTCCTGGATTGGTTTGAGAGGCCAGATAGTTTCATTTTGGTTTTGGAACGGCCGGATCCTGTGCAGGACCTCTTTGATTTCATCACAGAGCGGGGCGCTTTGCCCGAGGATTTGGCCCGCAGTTTTTTCCGTCAGGTTTTGGAAGCGGTTCGACATTGTCACAGCTGTGGCGTTCTGCACAGGGATATCAAGGACGAGAATATCCTGATTGACTTGAGCACTGGAGAGCTCAAACTTATAGACTTTGGTTCCGGAGCACTCCTCAAGGACACTGTGTACACCGACTTTGATGGTGAGTGTTGTCAGTTTCCCTTCGCTGCTGAGAGCCAGGGAATTTCCTTTCTAAAACACAGTGTTCCCTGGCTTTGAATGTTCAGTAACTTCACAGCAATGGAACATGTTCTTCCTTTGAAGGGTAGGAATTGTCCCTGTGAAATACATTTTAGACTGATTACGAATTGCCTGCTTAAAATGGCAAAAACCTCTGTTGCTGAAAGATGTAACTCCCATCCATTGCTAGTCTTTGCTGCTGATTAGAGATTACCTTTTTATAAGTCTGATGGACCCGTAGGGTTAGCTGGCAGTGTGAACATAGAAAGTGAAGTTGTCCAGGAGATCTACAGTAAATCTTTGGAGATTATGACGACTAATTCACCTGCTAGGTAATGCAGATGGGCTTTGGGTTTTTATGGACAATGCTAAGCTGAATGTAAACATGCTTGCAGCCATGCTGTTCAGAAATCAGGAATGCTAATCTTGCAGCCAAAGTGAAAAGCTTAGAATATATAGTTTGCTATCTTTCTAAGTGCAATAAATATAAAAGATTGTTTTGTTTACTACCCTTCCTAATGGCAAAGTAAAAAGGCAGTGGGGGAATTGTTAAGGATTGTTGCCTTCGTCATCTCACTAAATTAATCATTGCTACTGAGAAGTTGGTTATCATCATGGCATGGATGTTGTGAAATCTAATCTAGAAAGAGACTGTTTACAGCCAGCTCCCTTTTCCTTTCTTACTAAGAAATTCAAGTAGCTGATTTCTATCTTTTAAAAAAAAGTAACATGAGAAGGCAGTTCAAGGATTTCAGTGTTAAAATTAGAAAATAAGTGATTTGTTTCTGTTCACAAATTGTTCTCAGAAAACAAACCAATAAGCTTCTTGTGTTGCTATGGACTCTTCCTCACAAAGAACCGTTGCCTTCAAAAAAATCGCCGCAGGCTTTTGGTTTGTTTTGTATCTTTCCTCTTGAGCTCCCGAGTGACAGGAGCTGCCTTGCATTTTTTTGTTTTGTTTTGTTTTTAATTTAACGGTTAATGACCAGGGATGGACTTGCTCCTCCCCACGTTGCCCTCCTTCTGGCACTGTTTCGAAAGCGTGTGCTGCCCTCTGGTGGATAGTGAGGTCTTTTTTTACAACCCAAAGTTTGTAAACAACAGTCACGTGATTGGAAAGGAGAGGAGCTGCTCTGACCTCAGTATCCTTGCTTCCTGCCAGCAGGGGAGGGATACTAGATACTACAACAAAGGCAGAGCTACTTCTATGCCAAGAGCATCTGCACAGGTGCAAGCAGGATGCAGTCTGAGCATCTCATAATTACTATTTTTACAATTCCTAAGGCAAAGTCACTGCCATAATGTATTGTAAACGTTTCTTGTTTTTCTGCAGATTGACTATTAACAGGAATTTTAAAAGGGATTGAAAACTTCTTATAATACAGGCAATTTTGGGAATATTTAATTCCCCCTCTCCGTATATGTGGTATTAGGGTTATGCAGGCGCTAAATTTGCAAATCGCCTTTGCAGGAAAAAAAAATGAAAACTGCAATTCAAAACCTCAATGCCTAATAGGCTCACTGCCATTGAAATGAGTTCTTATGTCTTATCAGTGTGACCAAGCATTACAGATAACTAAAGCCAAAGGAGTCTAGAAGCTGAATTCTGTAGAATTTTAATTTTCTTGCTAACGAGACTTGCCTCTTCCTTTTTCAGGGACTCGTGTGTATAGTCCTCCAGAATGGATCCGGTATCACCGATATCATGGCAGATCTGCTGCTGTCTGGTCCCTTGGAGTGTTGCTCTATGATATGGTCTGTGGAGATATCCCTTTCGAGCATGATGAGGAGATCCTAAGGGGGCAGGTCTATTTTCGACAAAGGGTTTCTCCAGGTAAGTGCCTGTTGCCTTTATCTGGTAGGAGGCTAACTTGGGGACCGCTGGGATTCTATGTGCAATGTATCTCTTGAGCCAACAGCATTTTAGGCAATCGGCAATTGATGCAAAGAGGACACTTGGTGCTTGCCTTTTCTCTCTGTTTTTGCAAGAATGGCACTTAGAATAATTCTGGGTATCTTTAATTGTGGACATTTTAAATAGTGCTGCCATATATGAGTTTTTACTTTAGGTTGAAGTATGTAAGCATGGAAACAGACTCTCAGAATATGACCTTAGTTACATGTTACTAGGTAAAGTTTATGAAGTAGTGTTCACAAAACATTCTGTTCCTTGGCTTTCAGCATTCTCTCCTGTTGCCAAACTTCCTTCCAACACAAGGAATTTTGGTGTTATTTAGCTTTGCGAGAAATAGCCACTAAATGGGAAATAAATTGTTCAAATGTAATTTTGACCACATTAAGTAGCCTTGTTTTATGGAGTAAGTTTGGGAGACATTAGAGCAGAAGATATGTGCTTACTTTTGCTGATTCTCCTGGCCAATGAATTTTTAAATTTGTGCTTTCTTTTGTAGAGTGCCAGCATCTCATCAAATGGTGTTTAGCTCTGAGGCCTTCTGACAGACCATCTTTTGAAGACCTTCTGAACCATTCTTGGATGCAAGATGTTCTTCTGCCTCAGGAAACAGCTGAAATCCATTTGCACAGTCTAATACAAGAGTCTAGCAAATAGCCGTGTGTGTTGTCCAAGCGGGGAGAAAACAGAATTCTGCTCTACTGCGTTCAGCTGAGTGAGGATTTTCACAGGAACAAAATTCATCTCATTTTAGATGCAGGCTGTCTGGAAACTTATCCAACCATCAAGAACCACATCCCTCCTGGTAGAGTGAACTCCCAACTCCTAGAGGCTTACCTTGCAACCCTCCTTGCCACTAGATGAATCAGGCAAGTCCATGAGCATCCATAACCTGCTGAATCCTACAATACGAAATGTTTGGAGCAGAGGACTAGTGCATATGCTTCAACTAGGGGAATCCGGATACGGGAGCAGGGAGGGAAGGTACTAATTTGGACTGGCGCCCTGTCTTCACTGTGTCATCATGTTCTGAGTGCCTTCAGTTGCAAACATAGCTGTGCTGGGGGAAAATACTTGAATGTATTCCTTCATTGCTGCTGTCTCAAGATTCTCCTGAGTTACTCTTTATTCCATCTTGGAATACCTGCTTCAAAAGAGTATGGGGGTGATACACTGGCAAACGGTAGCTGTACATGTTGTCCAGTATGAACTTTTTAGTTTGTTCTTGCTGCCTCTTGAAAGTGAAGGCAACTTCAAATGCACAAACAATGCAACCCAACTAACTGTAAAATTTGTACAAAACAGTACAGGAAAAAAGCTTGGTGTACAGAAGATTGTAGTTTATACTATTTTTACTTCTGTTTTTTTAATTTATTTCTAGGGTTTTAAAATGGAATGTCCTAACTTGTAGGATCCTATTTATTTTATTTATGAATCATGTGGGTTTTTGGCCTACACTTCACTGCTACAGCTGCTGACTTGGTGTCCTGTCACATTGCCCCCTCTTATTTCTGCTCAGATCCCTTCCTCACTGTGTTGTCTTCTGTATGTTCTGCTCAGTTACATGTCTTGCCACTGTATGGAGCAGCTGACCACCCCCCAGCCATCTGTAAATACTTTAAGCTGTGGCTGTTCAGCTTCTCTGAAGGTTTGAGACATATTTCCACAGGTATTGGTGGGGAGGGCATCGGTGTGTATATACAGCATGTGTATATAGTGCTCTTCTTACTGAAAGTGGGGCAAGATACTTTGGACTTCAACACTGTCAAGCTTGTATAAGTAATTTGGTGTGTAGTTTGCTGTTTTTTTTAAATAGCTAATATTGTACAGGGAATTAAAATGCTATTTTTTTTTATACATGCTGTTTTAAATAAAAATTGAATCACCTGATTTAATCAGAGTTCTGGCTCTTTAATGACCAGTATAAATCAAAGATAGACATTACCTGCTTTCTTTGTGTTACGTTCTTAAAACGCTTAGCTGTAGTTCATAGTTCAGATCTCTTATAGCACTATTTTATGGCTTTAAAATGTTCAGTCAAGTGACAGAGAAAATTGGAGGTAAGTGGCATTATACTGTGAACAAAGTTCAGATGGAACCAATAAATTGTGTGAGACAAATGCTTCATTTATATGACACGATAGAGTTCCTGACATAAAATTTAGATTCCTGAATTTTCTACTGGGGGGTGGGGTAGGGGTGATGGAGCCCAGGACATGAGCAGGAAGATAGGGGTGGAAAGAGTCACGTAGCAATTAATAACTTGCAGTGTTCAGATATTGTATGTGGTGGATATTCTTAGTCTTTCATATCCAGTTCCTGTCGGAGATTACAAAGATCTTTGCCAATTCAAGTTCTCTGTTTTGATCAGTATAGACTGTGCACCAATGTTCTAGGCAAAATAAGTGCAGCTGCCTTCTGATAAGATTTTTGCCTCATCCCTCATGGGTTTTCATTTTGTCTTTCACATAAAGCCATTCACAGGACCCAGATCCACATTTACATTACTAAAGATTGGTGCCCCTCCCTGATTCATATTTGCTATCACTGCTAGAAGTTTTGTGATCATTACTTGCTGCAACCATATTGAGTCCATTTGTTGGCTGATCTGTCATTTTTTTCTCTCACATCTGCAGATGAAACACATGTATCCCAGCTAGAGTATGGCCAGCACTGCTATAGTTTTGCTGGTTGAAACAGGTGTGGGTGGAATTGAGCATAAACCTCAGTCATGAGAATAAATTGAGGTTCATATAATGGTTAAGACTATGAGCTTGTAAGTGGGAATTCAGATATGTTAGATATATGCAGTGGGATTTTAAAAATACAGTGGTACCCCAACTTACAACCAATTCGACTTACAAACAGCTCTGGTCGCAAAATTTTACTTCTACTTGCGACCGGAGCTTCCACTTAAGGAAAAAGGCAGGGGGAAAAGGCAAGAAATTCAAATTGCTTCTTTGTAGCTTCCCAAGGGTTAGAATGAGTGCAATCGAGGAGGGACTGCTGGCTTCTGCTTCTCAGTGAGCGTCTATGTGCTTGCAGGGAGGCTTGGGACTGCCTGTTAGGTAAGGTGCTGTTTTATGCTTCTAAAAAACTTTGGGTTTTTTGCAGCATGGTTTTAGGCTGGGGGGGTTATGTTTCTGTGCTGTGATGGGTCTTGGGGGTTTGTTTTCGGGTCCCCCATTTCCGATGGGTCTTGGGGGGTTTTCCCCCATTTCCGATGGGTCCTGAATGCTTCCCTTGCTTTTTCCTTTGTTTTCTTTGCATTTCTGACCTTGTCTCTTTGTCCTCTGTGCATTTCCAATCTGCTCCATCTGTTTTCTGTACATTTGCAATGGGTCCTGCATGCTTATAAGGGACGTGGTGGCGCTGTGGGCTAAACCGCAGAAGCCTGTGCTGCAGGGTCAGAAGACCAAGCAGTCGTAAGATCGAATCCACGTGACGGAGTGAGCGCCCGTCGCTTGTCCCAGCTCCCGTCAACCTAGCGGTTCGAAAGCATGCAAATGCGAGTAGATAAATAGGTACCATCTCGGTGGGAAGGTAAACAGTGTTCCGTGTCTAAATCACACTGGCCATGTGACCACGGAAAGATTGTCTTCGGACAAACGCTGGCTCTATGGCTTGAAGAGCGGGATGAGCGCCGCCCCCTAGAGTCGGACACGACTGGACAAAAATTGTCAAGGGGAACCTTTTACCTGCATGCTTCCCTTGCTTTTTCCTCTTTTTTCCCTGTGCATTTGCAATGGGTCTTGCACGCTTGATTGCTTCCCTCCCCCCTTCAGCCAGAAGGGATTAATCTGTTTCCAATGAGTCTTGCAGTGATTTTTGTGTGTGTGTGATTTTTTTTCTTTGGCCGGAATGGATTAATTGCATTTCAATGCATTCCTATGGGAAATGGTGCTTCGATTTACGACCATTTCAAGTTACGCCCATCTTCTGGAATTTATGGTTGTAAGCTGAGGCACCACTGTAATAAACATGCACAGAATTGTGCTGCATGTTCCTTAAACTGACTTATATCAGATGAGCCTTGTTTTCTTAATTGTACCAAATGAAACACTAATACCTAGATTAATATCTGGGATGTTCACATTTGCCATTTACTAACAGACACCCCATCCCAACTTTCATGTTCTCATGGGTTTGTGACAGTTTTCCATGATCTACATTTTGCTAGTGATGATTGGTTTTCCTTTAAATGTGCAGCCTGACCTTATTCATGCCGTAGTCTCAGGTTTTAACCCCTTCTCCTCCTCCGAAGCCATTTTTTATTGGGAAAATGGCAGTAGGGCAAAGAGTAAAATGCATGTTCTGAAAACAATTACAATCCACTCAAGCTGAATTTGGCTGAAAGTATCAGATTAGATTAGTTTAGTATCAGTCATAGATTCACCTTCATACTATGTACTTAGCTGCTTCAGATATTAAGAGGAAGAATAGATCCTGAAGCTGAGGCTCCAATACTTTGGCCAACTCATGAGAAGAGAAGACTCCCTGGAAAAGACCCTGATGTTGGGAAAGTGTGAAGGCAAGAGGAGAAGGGGACGACAGAGGATGAGATGGTTGGACAGTGTCACTAAAGCTACCAACATGAATTTGACCCAGCTCCGGGAGGCAGTAGAAGACAGGAGGGCCTGATGTGCTCTGGTCCATGGGGTCATGAAGAGTTGGACACAACGACTAAACAACAACAACTCTACTATCTCAATATAATGTATGGAAGAAAGTTCAATTAATTTCTGTGGAAGTTGCACACCAGTGGGTGTTAGCATTATGGTTATAGACCGACCCTTATTCCAGTAAAGGCTGATTGACTGTTACTTGTTCTAAGAAAACCTTCCCACAAAGGAGACAAAAGTATGATCAGAAAGTTCAGCTACCCAGAGCCGGATCTAATGATAGCAACTTCCTTCTGTGGCTAGTTTCTATCATCCTCCCCACTGTGTTGTAACAGTAGCAGGGAAAAGCTATGTGGTTGGAGATCTTAGCTCAGTGAAAGTTCCTGAAAAAAGAGCCATATTCTGCATTTCATGCCTCCAATAGGCTTTGGAGGTTAGAGAATACTGGGCACCATGCTTTGCATAAGAGTAAGTACACACTTCCCTAAGCCAAGCCCTATAAGAGAATGGAAGAGGAAACAAGTTCTTAATTAGGGGGTAGGGGGTATTCCCAGTTCATTGAACTTGAGGGCCTAACTATACAATATGGAAAGTACATGTCAGCTTTTTTAAATGGCCTCATCTATTTCTCAATCATCCTCCCAGACATCTGCAATGATTTGTGTTTTGATACAGCATTCCACATTTCTTTACCCTTTTCACAGGCAACTACCATGTTTCCCCGAAAATAAGATGGGGTCTTATATTAGTTTTGCTCCAAAAAAACACATTAGGGGTTATTTTCAGAGGAGGATTTATTTTTTTCATGTACAACAATCTACATTTAGTCAAACACAGTCATGTCATCTTCTGGTTGCGGCATAATGGTGGAGAGCGGGGTTTCACTCATACTAGGGCCAATTTTCAGGTTAGGTCTTATTTTCGGGGAAACAGGGTAACAATGTGGTAGAGAATCAAGAAATTTGGGACCAAAGTGATAATGAAGTTCTACCAAGGCAGGGAGCATATTCCTTGTTGGCACATCACATACTGTACATTTACTCACTGTATCGTCTTCTTGGGTCTTTGGTTAAAATGATAAACCAGCTATCTCCAACCCCCTCTTCCCAGCCTGCATTGTTGTGTCTCGGGACCTTCATTTGGAATTATCCAAAAGCACAAATCACAATGTTGCATGCTACAACTCTGTTCATATCTGGAGGTTCACACACCAACCTCTCATGGTGTACCAATGACAGATGACTGAAGCAACCCGATTAAAACCCTATTCACAATCCTATTGTGAAATCCATTCAATATGCATGGTAGCATATCACCATGAGATAATTTAATCAAAAATGCAGGAGACAGCATCCCCCCCTGAAGTCTGTGCTTTATACTCTAGAATGCATTTACTCAAGCTTGTTGACTTCTTTGACAACTGTCTAGAGGTTTTATGATAACAGCTACAGGAAATGCTGCAGAGTAAACATGCTCTTAAAACATTTTTTCCTGTGCCACAATCAAAAACAGGAGCAGTGACTCTTGTGTTGCTGAACTTAACTTGGTTTTGACCTAGTTCTTTGTTTGCAGTCCTTATCTTAATTCTTTACTCAGTTCAGATGCAGACTTGTTTTATATCTCTGAATAGAAAAAAGAACTAAGAACCAATCATGATCCTCAAACATTGGCATGTCTTAACAATGTCTGTTCTTCCTGTACTTTGTTGCTTATGTGCATCAGCTCCAACAATTTGTTTTGATGTGGCAGAAGCAGCATTTCCTAACTTATCATGCAGAAGCTGAAAGCTTAAATCCCAATGAAAAACAGATTACCACTTGCTAGAAGGTGGCACTTGTAATTAATAGTTTTGGTATCTCTGTTTTTGGTTATATGTTTTATCCACCACAATGATAGTACCTGTCATCACTGGGGCAGAAAGAAGGTGTTTCCTGGCTCATCTCAGAGATACAAAGGCTAAGAGAACTCCTGCTAGGATATGAACTCAATGACTCTTGTGCTCCTGCAAATACTGTTATGACATCTACAGTGAATTAGAGAAATAACATTCTCCACCTCTGTAATCTGCTGCCAAAAAGCACTGGAGTAACTGGCTGTATGATAGGAATAGTTTGTGTTGACATGCTTACAGGAAATGCAAACATCAATATTAACAGCATGATGGGGTGTTTGCTTACTGTTACATAGCAACTGGTGTCAGGAGTGCTTGCAAGAACTGCAAGGTGT